GTAGTTTACCTTTTTGGTTTTCTTTTTTTTTTTTTATTTGAGAGAGAATGAGAAAGAGAGCACATGAGAGGGGGGAGGGTCCGAGGGAGAAGCAGACTCCCTGCCAAGCAGGGAGCCCGATGCGGGACTCGATCCCTGGACTCCAGGATCATGACCTGAGCCGAAGGCAGTCGCTTAACCAACTGAGCCACCCAGGCGCCCCTACCTTTTTGGTTTTCTTAACAATGTTTCAAAGCGCAAAAGTTTTTAAACTTGGTAAAGTCCAGTTTATCAATTTTCTCTTTTATGGTTCATGCTTTTTAAATCCTAAGAAACACTTTGTCTACTCCAAGATTGCAAAGATTTTCTCCTTTTTTTTCTAGAAGCTTTATAGTATTAGTTCTTACATTTAGATCTATGATCCATTTCAAATCAGTTGTTGAATTTGAGAAAGAAGGGTTGATGTTCACTTTTTCATATGAATATTCAGTTATTCTAGTACTATTTGTTGAAAAGACTTTCCTTTCACCATTGAATTGCTTTCTACCTTTGTTGAAAATTAATGGACCCACTATATGTGGGTCTAATTATGTATTCTATATTCTGTTCCACTGATCTATATCTGTCCTTTTGCCAGAACCATACTATCATTACTCTAGCTTTATAATAAATCTTGAAATGAGTTGTGCAAGTCTTACAACTTTGTTCTTTATCCAGATTGTTTAGCTATTCTAAGTTCTTTGCATTTCCATATAAATTTGAATCCACTTGTCACTTTTGATTTTTTAAAAAGCTTGCTTAAGAGGCACCTGGGTGGCTCAGTTGGTTAAGCATCTGACTTCTGCTCAGGTCATGATCTCAGGGTCCTGGGATCCAGTGAGCATCATCCAGTGAGCATGCTCTGCACTCAACGGGGAGTCTGCCTCTCCCTCTCCTTTTCCCTCTGCCCCTCCCCCTGCTCATGCAGCGCTCTCTCACTGTCTCTTTCAAATAAAATCTTCAAAAAAAGAGTTTGCATGAGTTTTGATTGAGATTGCATTAAACCTATATATCAGTTTCAGGGAAATTGTCATAATAACGATATTAAGTCTTTCAAATAATGAACATGGTATATTTCCCCATGTATTTAGGCCCTCTCAATTTCTTTCCTTATTTTTTTAGAATAGGTCTTTTACGTATGTTGTTAAACTTACCTCAAGTATTTTATGTTTTCAGATGCTGTTGTAAATGAAATTTTTAAAATTTAATTTTCTAATTGTTTATTCCAGGTATTTAATAGAGTGTTGGTTTGACCTTTTATCCTGTGACCTTGATAAAGTCATTTATTAGTTCTAGTAGTTCTGAGCATTTTTCAGTGTTCTCTTATTTTGACCCATGAGTTACTTAAAACTGTGTGCATTAACTTTTTTTTAAGATTTTATTTATTTATTTGAGAGAGAGAGTGAGAGAGAGAGAGCACAAGAGGGGGGGAGCGGGAGAGGGAGAAGCAGACTCCCTGCTGAGCAGGGAGCCCGATGCGGGACTCGATCCCGGGACTCCAGGATCATGACCTGAGCCAACGGCAGTC